TTCCATCCCCGCAAACACACTTGGTGGTGGTTACTCGATAGCCGTTAATAAAATCATATAATAACTAAGCCGGTACGCAGTTTTATAAGCTAATAAAGGCATATTTCTAACTGCATTGCGATTATTCGTTGGTTGGTCACCAAATTCAACAAAAAGGTGTTTATTCAGGTTCTTCAGAGCTCACAGCATATCGCTCTTGCGTGGGTGATAGGCGATGACGTTTTAAAGACGACAGTTCTTCTTGGAATACTTCAACGTAGAAATTTAGGTCTGTCTTTTTGTCGATTTCTATGTCTCACAAACGGTTAAGCCACCTGGCTGTGTTCATATTTGCCGACATCGTCAATAAACAAATCAAGTATTAGGCATAATTGAGATGCGACATCATTACGTAAGTACTTGTGTGTTTGTTTATATAAAATCCATAAATACCTAATTCTAAAGGCCGCGGTGTTTATTACGCTGCGCTGACAATGTCACGCCAAGAATGAAAAAGCGGTGTAACTTTTAGCTTCGCTAAACCAACACGGTGCTGCCATCTACCAGTGGCTTTACGTTCGACAAAAGCTTTTGTTTCTTTACATTACAGCGAGATGGCGTCCATATATCACGGAGCGCCTCCAGAGTCCAAACAGGAGACCATAGTCTTTCGACGCCGTTTGCAGCAAAGCACGCCGCGCAGATGCGAAGCCTCTTATGATCTAGCTCAGTCCGGTGGTGCGCCGCGTAATCGCCTTTAGTGCTCACATGCGTCCCCTCCCCATCTCTTGTATCCTACACTCCTCTCGTTCTCACCCCGCAACACAAACGCAGGCAGCATCCCCACCCCATCTCTCGTCTCCTACACTTCTCTCTTTCTCGCCTCGCAACACTGACCACGCTCACTGCTCCCTTTTGCTCATCGAAGTCAAAGAGTTTCTAAAGTAACTACCGAGACTCTGCCGCTTGGATCGTTCAGTGACCATAGAAGGTTGGGTAGGACACGGATATGCCTTAGTGTTCGTGCTTTAGGGCCTCGAACTCACTTGCTGCTTCGTTCATTTCTGTGTATTGGTTTTGTTTAGAACGAAAGAACGCATGGTCATAAACTTCGTCAGCCGATTTGAAATGGTGAGCATGAAAGGTTAAAGTAACGAAGTGCAATTGCTGAACATTGGCTGATTGCCCTTTCGTGACAAAGTAACTTCAAGCCACGCGAATCTAACCAGATGAGAAAGTACGAATATTAGACAAATTTGTATACGCCTCCTCGTTTCTATGGTCACAGAAAACGCCGGGCGGTGCAGCTTCCATATACACTAACGCCAGAGTTCCCTCTAGTGTATTTATAGGAAAATCTCTGCTCAGGCGGCATTCTCCACGCCAAGGTGTTTACAACCCCACCTCGATGCACGTGCTTGTCCCATTTCCCTCCCTCTCCTCTCTTACACCCCCCCCCCCCGTCTCGTCTCGCAACGGTGACGCAGACAGCGTCTGCTAGCACGTTTCTTGAAAAAAAATTAAGCATATTGACGAAGGGATTGATTATGAGTGAAGCGAAGCATCTGTTTATCCGTCCATGTGTCTATCCGTTCTTCTCTGCGCACGAACGGCCGCATAAACGAACTGCCGGACGCATGGAGGGACGCATGGATGGACGGATGAACGGGCGAACGCACCAGCGGATGGAAGAACTGATGGAAAGAGGTGCGAATGGACTCATGGACGGCTGTATGGATGGAAGCATGGACAGAAGCATGCATGAACGGACAGAATGAACGGAGTAACACACAGACAGACAGAAGCACGGATGCAAGGACGGACTCTCAGATGGGCGGACAGAACCACGGACAGATAGAAGCACTGATGGATGGTCGGATGAACAAACGGATGGCCGAAAGCTTCGCCTGACGCATCATCATTTATTCCGTGGATATACAGTTAAAATTACTATCGACATCTAGTTATATTATTACCAAGGACATATATACACACACTGCTATTTATTGAGTAAGTCATAAACTTGGGGCGGCTACATACTGCGTAGGGAGGAAGGAACGAACCGCGGCCTAACAAGCTTCGCCCCTAAAATGACTGCTCGCACTTCAGAACCGTTCACTCGTCGGCCCGTATGTTTAGTCACTGTATCTTGACCTCCAAGGTAGTGCCCATGAGAGATTTCTGCTGTGCGTTGTTTAACAATAAAAATTAGCAGCGTGCGGGTTAACTGTGGTACCATCCGTCAAATCGGAGTCATTTGTTTCTTGTTAACCATTAGCAGTGATTGGCAAGTTCCAGAAGGAAACACCTGTCCATGACAGCGTGCTTTGCGCCTGACCAGGTTTCTCACCTGCGCAACGCCGCGATGAGCGCGAGTGTGAACGCCACCGCCAGTGTAAGCGCTAGCGTCCGTTGCTTCACATCAGCACTAGCCTTGTGATGCCCATCCTCCGATTTCTTCAACTGGCTCCCAACTTTCCTATCTCCTTTTTTTTGTCGCTTGCCTGTCCTATTTATTAATCAATATCTTTCCACTATTCTTTTTGTCCCTCCTGCCCCTCTCTCCCCTACAAAGCACTGCGCCGAGTCGCTCAAGGGGCAAACAGAAATTAGACGCCTTTTTTATCTTCTCAAGAATCACTCACTCACTCAATTCACATTTACACATAGGGTCCCTTTAGCGGGAAATAGGTGTAAGTTTGTCTCACCCTTATTAGTCGCTGTCGAATAGATATCTGCATTAGGAAATGCTTTGAATAGGATCCTCATTGTTTTTTAATGTCATACTAATGAAAGTGCTTCTATTATCTGCCTAATCTTATCATACATTCTCGAAAAGTCTATACAAATAAGGTATTATATCCACAACAGATGTCGTATCTCATGCTTTTTTTTCTGTTCGTGTTATATGCATAATTCATTGGCTTAAATTCTAGGATATGCGGCCCTTGGTATTGTATTGCTAGTGCAGCTATAGACTCACAAGGGATTTGACTGCCTGAAAAAGTTTATGGATGACCAGATACATTCGAATTACAAAATTATGGTACTATGGCATTGTAACTAATGAAAAAAAATCACAAATTACAGTTTGTCTTTAAAACAGCAATCTGGACTTGTAATAATTTCATGCATTTCGGTATCATGCCAGCCGTCGTTAATATGGAGCCACGTAATCTCTATAATAAACATGTTAAATATTTACGTCAGCGCTAACTACAAGCGGCCGATTTTAACTATATCGGCCATCTCTCAGTGGAGGCAGCATCATAAAATATGTGCTTCTGAAGCAGGACCTAATCGTTTTCAATTATATATTCGCAAAGAATATTTTTTTATTTATGGGGCATTACTTAGCAGCCTAAGTAATAAATATGACTAGCTAGCAGGAAAGCGGCTTAAATTCACACACTTTATGGCTTAGTTTGACAAAACGAACACTTGTTTCAATCTCCACCAAACGCTACATTCAGTGCATAACACCTGCTTTGTTCTCCTTGTTTGTCCCTCAAATTAAGAGACTAGCTATCAGTGATTGCAGGTGCCATCCGCGCAGCCACAATGGAAGTCAATAAACGATCTTCGTGTGGCGGGTTATTGAACCATTCGGTTTCTCATGAAAGCAAGCATGAGAGCCGTCCGATGTGTTTTTCGCCTACAAATGAATGTAGGGCGAGAGTGTTTTCCGTGCTCTCACTGAAACATGTTTCGCATGCAGGTCTTGCTCTCGAGCTGCAAGATCTATGACACGTGTCTCTGCCTCAAGCGGTGAAGTCGTAGCAATCTCTGCGCACACGAATTTCGCTCTCCCGCTCTAATACCTCTGGGCAGCTATTTAGCCTCTTTATTTTATTTAGACTGTCTTGGGATGCGGGAGATGATGCTCTGTCACGGTTTCACCCTGGCTTGGATGTTTCCTGACCATCACCATCAGTAGGGCCAAACAGCCTAAAAAATGTTTTCTTTATCTTATTTTTCTTCACAATACTGAAAAGTGTTCCCTGCAAGATTAGGACGTGATGCTTGGCTATGAGCCGCCCAGAGTGCGCCCATTAAACATTCTTCAGATTTTTTTTTATTTAGCGACACGGGTGTATTAATCAAATGAATGCAGGATTAACAAATTCTTCTTTTTAACTCTTGCTGAGCTTGACTATGTAGCTACTCGCGAGAGGGCACCCCTGATAATAGTATTTGTATAAAAGGGCTGCCGAACCGAGCTCGATCAGCAGTTGGCTCAACAGCAGTTCTAAAGTCACCATGGTAAGAAAACGTCCCCTGGTATTTAGTACCTTTATAAAGTGTAGGCTAATAGCAACAAAGAAAGAAAAAAATTACGTTATTTCTTTCAAGCCAACCTAACATAAAACTTTCAAAGACTTAGCATAGAAGCCAATATATGTTCATTTCACAGATGTAGTCTTTTTGCCACTTAGAAACAATTAAAACATCAGTACAATAGAATAAACTATACACTTTAGGTGTGATTGATTTATTCGTGGTGTTTAACGTCCTAAAACCACCATATAATCATGAGAGACGCCGTAGTGGAGGGCTCCGGAAAATGCGACCACCTGGGGTTCTTTAACGTGCACCCAAACTGTGAGCACACGGGCCTACGAAATACACTTTAGGTCTAAGTGCTCGGGTAACTGGAAAATCATTATGAATTCGGAGAATTCTACGCCGTTTAAATGGTTCAGTGATCAACGCGAACAATATTATCTACTTCATTCTAAAAGTAAATGCATAATGATTGCGTGGAACGTACTTTCATGCGGATAGAGTATCTTGACTGTTTCTAATATTTGATTTGAACTCTGCGCTACAATTAAACTTAGGTGCTGAATGCCATGTAAAATTGACATTATTTTTAATAGAGTGAGCGCACACTATGCGACACCCCTCAGCCAAATGAAACTGTTAGTTTATTAAAATATGAACGAATAAAAAAAATCTACGTATGCAAACACTATCTGTAGTGACAGAACTTAATTTAACGAATGCGCATTACATTACAGATCCGCGCCTGCATCCTCTTGGCTCTTGCAACCAGCGCATTCGCTGACTACGCCGGCTACGCCGGCTACAGCCCCGGATACGGCTACGGTCCTGGCTATACGGGCTATGGTCATGGCTATCGCCCCGGTTATGGTCTAGGCCACGTTGGATATGCTCCAGCTGTGCACACTTTCACTCACGCTGCTCCAGCTGTAGGAACCGTTGACGACGCTACAGTCGCCTCTTACACTGCTGGTCGAGTTGTTGCCGCTGCTCCATCTGTGACCAGGGATGCCGCTACTTACACTGCTGCCCCAGTTGCTGATGCTGCTCCAGCCGTTAGCAGGGTTGCTAGCGAGTACCACGCCCCAGGCGTTGCCACCTATGCTGCTCCACCTGTCGCCACCGACGCTGCCCCAGCCGTGACCAAGGTTTCTTCCACCTACCATGGCCTAGCTGTCGCCACTGGGGCTCACGCTCCAGTGGCCACCTACGCTTCTGTCCCAGTCACCACCTACGCCGCTGCTCCAGCCGTTGCCCCTTACGCTGCTGCCCCTGTCGTGACGAAGGATGCTACCACCCACCCCGCCCCAGCTGACGCCACTGTAGCTCACGTTCCGGTTCCATCCTACGCTGCTGCTCCAGCTGTTGCCACCGTGGCCCACGCCCCTGTCGCCACCTATGCTGCGACCCCTGCTGTTTCCACCACTCCCGTCCAGCACGCCCCAACTGTCGCCACCGAGTCTCACGCTGCTCCAGCTGTTGCGACCATTGCCGACGCTCCATTCGCCTCTTACTCTGCTGGTAGAGTTGTGGCCGCTGCTCCATCTGTGACCAGAGATGCCGCCTCCTACGCTGCCGCCCCAGTTATTGATGCTGCTCCAGCCGTCAACACGGTTGCTACCGCTTATCACGACCCAGCCGTTGCCACCTATGCTGCTCCAGCCGTGACAAAGTTTGCTACTACCTATCATGCCCCAGGTGTCGGCAACGTGGGTCACGTTCCAGTTGCAACCTACGCTTCTGCCCCAGTCGCCCCCTACGCCGCTGCTCCAGGCATTGCCACCTACGCCGCTGCCCCAGCCGCGACGAAGGATGCTACCACCTATCATGCCCCAGCTGTCGCCACCGCGCCTCACGCTCCAGTTTCCTCCTACGCGTCTGCCCCCGTCACCACCTACACCACTTCTCCAGCCGTTGCCACCTACGCTGCTGCCCCAGCTGCTCCGAAAGCAGCTACCACCTACCACGCCCCAGCTGCTGCCACTGTGGCTCGCACTCCGGTTCCCGCCTACGCTGCTGCCCCAACTGTTGCCACCGGTGACCAGGCACCTGTCGCCACCTATGCTACGGCTCCTGCTGTTTCCTCCTCCGCCGTCCACCACGCCCCAGCTGTTGCAAACGTCGCACACGCTGCCCCAGCTGACGCTGCTTATCACGCCACCCCAGTCTACAACTACGGTATTGGCACCCTCGGCTACGGCGTTGGCCACTATGGTTACGGCCACGGTCTCCTCGGCTACGGTCTGAATTACAGCTATGGTCTCGGCTCTCCCTTCTACTACGGTGCCCTGCTATTCAAGAAGAAATGTGAGTGTATTTCTTTTGAACACTTGAGAACAAAATTTACGTTCACTGACGTCAATGGCACCTATTTAGCATGACTGAATAAGCCAGTAAGGCGGATTCCAGGCACAAGTAGATGCTTATTTTTTCCGTGGTTCTATTTTTTCCCTTTAACTAGAGGTGCTAGCATACTTCATTTAGATTAACGACGAGTCTGGTAGAAACGATATCATATTGCAGTGAACGCAAATATTCAATGTTGGGGTTCTTGTCATTGTTGTTATTAACTATATTTTTTCAACGTTGTTTCGTTACAGAAATAGTCCGAGGAACCATGACAGAAACATCAAGAATAAGAGAGATAGACATCAACGTCAAGCACGCACTGCTTTAAATCGTAGTGTAAGTGCAAGAATAAAGCTGTTCTGCACTCCATTTTGACCTGTCTGCCAATTCTTCTTGAGCATTTCACCATGCCAACTTGATCTGGAATTATTTATAAATTCATGCTGTCGCGAACTGCCTTGTGCTCAGATATAGTTCTTCAACTATTTCAATTTTGCAGCGCTTTAGGAGTCAACCATTCAAAAACTAAAACGTTTGTCATATGGTTGCGGCTAGATTTTATGAAGCCGATGACTAATCGTATGACGGAATGTTTCAATTGTTTTTAGTGTAATGTATAAATTTTCTTCTAGGTGAGTGGTACATTGCACAGAAGTCCGGTTGATTTGAGTATTGAAATTATGATGACGCATTTTGTCCTGTTACAGAATTTCACTTCTGTTATTGTAAGCATGATATACTTTGTTCCATTGTAATAAAAACATAATATAATATTTCTATGCCATGCTATGCAAGATATATTGCTCTGTAGCTTTCAAAGTACAGTCAGCCACATCTTTAGATATAGTGCCTGAGTGGCAGTTTTTTCTGTGCATTTTCACAATACCACCAAATTATATTTTAGAATGTGAGGACAAGTTTATTGCTACAGAGTACATGCACACAAAGCATTTTATTTGTAATTGCGTTCTATAATACGGCACTGAGAGATAATAAAGTGGCCGCTGCTCACAAGATATAAATTTCGGCCAGCTGAACGTATAGAATTCTGCATGAAGTATTGTTGGAATCGGCGACATGGTTATGAAGGTACGACATTTTTGAGGGCATGTTTATATTAGAGTCAGATGTAAGGAGGTAATAGTGTTATGCCCATGTGCCAGAGCAAATTGAACCCATTTTTGTTTACGGAGGCATTCTTTTCGTCATAATTGTCTTCTGAAAGTACAAACGTAGCCGCAGCTATCGAACACCAATATTTTAAAACAATAACGTGGAGAAGTTCGGGCACGAATTGTTTCTCTTGAACTGGAGAAGCTGCAAGTAACTTTTTATTAGTCGTATTACCGGTGGATTCTTTTAAGCTCGAGTTTGGCCTGGTGGTGCTCAGAAAACTAAGTGGAGCCATGACACCCCCAGGCATCACCTAGCAACGCGTTGGAAGAACGAAAAGAAGAGGATCATGAGAACTATGAACAAAATAAATTTTAGCACAAAGCTAGAATCTAACATGGGTACTCTCGCTCTGAAGGCGAGTGTCGAAACCGCTCTGTCTTCCAACATTCTAGTCCCCATGCATTCTTCATGCAACAAGTGCTCATGGGAACCCTTTCATTACGTTGCTATAGGGTAGAGAACGAGAAAAGGATAGAGAGGAACGATGAGATGGCAAGAAGGTCAAGTCGTGAAAGATAACTGAAAGAGAAGTAGATAGAGAGATAAAAAATTAAAAAAGAGAAACGTCAAGAGAGACCAAAAAGAAAAAAACACCCTCGACAAAAAGCGGTGCCTTCAAAGAGAAAAGAAAGAAGTACGCAAGCTGATTAGCTCTGCTGTGCTCATCTGGGTTTTCCCAGACTTGGCTATAGCTCTTTTGTGCTTATGGAATTCATCTAGGCTTCATTGAATATTTCTAGGCACCTTACGCCTACAAACTTTTTCGGCTGCTCCAAAAACGCTGCCGGTCGGTAGTCGAGGCTCCGCAAAACATATAAGACAAACATGATAGTGCAGCATGTGGCCTGAATTTACAATTATTTCCCAAAGTTAGATAAAAATCAATTTCCCTTGTTTCTACAAATGATGACATTTATCGCCATGACCTTGCCATATACTCAAATGCGCGGTCATTATCCAATTTGGGCATAGTAGACTGAATAGGCTCTGCAGCTGCCGTAGGAGGCCGTCACGCACCCACGATTGTGCTGGCATTGGCACTGAACGTAGCCGTGCGTTTAAAGAAAAATTTAATGTCAGATCCGGGGTACAGTGTGAATCGATGATGTGAGAAGTACGAATGAATAAGGTTGTTTCCTCACTTTAAAATTAGCGCAACTTTATGAGGCGGACGTGAATAATGCCGCACATGACTTTCATGTCATAGTTATCACGTTTGCATCTGGCGTTTCTGTCCGTCGTCTATTCACGTGACGTAATACTATACTTGGTATATATGAAGTGCAAAACAGCCGTGAGCGTGCTATGAGCGTAGCATGCAGTCGTATTTTACATGACACGCTTGTCATGATTATCACGTTTTCACTTGTCATTTACCTTCGTCGTCTATTCACATCACGTAATACCAAATTTGATATATGTGAAGCTAGCGAAACGGCCGCAAGCGCGCTGTAAGCGTAGCATGTAGTCATGTTTCACATGACACGCATGCCATGATTATCAAGTTTGGACGTGCTATTTACCTTCCTCGTTTACTCACGTCACATAATACCACATTCAGTATATGTGAAGGTAGCGGAACAGCCGCAAGCGTGCTATAAGCGTAGCATGTAGTTATGTTTTACATGAGACGCATGTAATGAATATCATGATCGACGTGTCGCTTACCTTCGTCGTCTATTCGCATCACGTAATACCAAATTTGGTAAATGTGAAGAAAGAAAAAGGGCCACGAGAGCGCTGTTAGCGTAGCATGTAGTCATGTTCTGCATGACACGCATGTTATGATTACCATGCTTCGACGTGTCATTTGCCTTTGCCATTTTCTCACGTAACCTAATGTCAAATTTGGTATATGTGAAGCTACCAAAACGGCCGTGAGCACGCCATGAGCTTAGCATGTAGCCATGTTTCACGTGCCACGCATGTAATGAATATCCTGTTTCACCAGTAATATACCTTTGTCATACATTCAAGTCACGTGGTACCGAATTTGGTCTATGAGAAGCTAGCGAAACGACCACGAGGGCACCATGAGCGTGGCATGTAGTCATGACTTACATGACATGCATGTAATGATTTCTGCGTTAGCGCCTGTTACTTATGTTCGCCATGCAGAGTCATGTCATACCATACCAGTTTTGCAATATGTCATGTGAATGAAACACCACAAGAGCAGCAAAACCATGACATGTAAATTATGACATTTCTGACATACATGTCATGATTTATATGTTGTGAGTAGTCGCTTATGCTCGTCATACAGTGATGTTTAACTATATTAATTTTAGTAGAGGTTATTATCGAAACGGCCAGGAAAGCTAAATGTGGTAGGTTACTAGATAGATAGATAGACAGACACGGTAAAAGTCGCCGAAGTTCGCTAAGAAATGCGTCGCACTCAAAACAAGTGTGCAAGCCGACGAAGCGCGCGTGACCAATATCTTTCCCTTTTTCTAGATCTCCCTATTTAGCTTCCAGTGCGCTCTTCGGGGGGAAATAATGTGGTAATGCCCTAAACCACGCGTTCTTGATGAATTCCTTTAGTGTATTTCAGCGAAACCTGTGAATGGTTATTTGTAAAAGTGTTGCCGAGAGCCTTTAGAAAAGCCGCCCAGCTCTTCTGTTTCTTGATGCTTAGAATAACTGAGATTAAATGAAGGATTGGTTGCGTATACTTCGCTTATGACTGAATATTGTTACATACTTGGTGAGTGAGCCCATGTCAGTGAAACAGTGGCTAGGGTGCTGAACTGCTCACACGAAGGTCGCGAATTTGATTCCAACCATTTCGCTCGCATTTCAATGGAAGTTAAATTGGTAGTGGCCCTTGTATTGTGGGTTTTGAGTGCATGGTAAAGAACACTAGATGACAATCTTTTTGGAGCCATCCACTACGGCCCCTTGCATGATCAGGTTATGGTTTGGGCACGTAAAAGCTCAGATAATATTGTTAAAAATTTTGCGAAGTGCCACAAAGTCGGGAAAAGCTAGCGCTCTCACAAGCCATGACGTCGCAACCTGCCTGGTTAATAGCGAGTGCATGCTTTCTAGTGAACCAATTCTAATTCGGAAGCTCTAGGCACCCCGTCAAGGACGAAAATATTTCATAGGCGGCAGCAGCACCGTCGGCGTCCAGCGTCGGTGCATACCACGAGTGATGCAAACTCATCATCGTATTATGACGTCATCGTACGATGTCATGATGACAACGCGTATCGCCTAATAATATGAGATCATGCTGACGTCATGATAACTCATGTAACTGATGACATCAACAGAAGATAACCTCAGTTAGTCAAAGAATAGCTCATGTAACTAATGACATCAACAGAAGATAACCTCAGTTAGCCAAAAATGAGCTGAAAACCAGGGCAGTGTAACACGAAACATGAAATGCCTCCTATGCTGAGCTAGTATAAAACAACGTTAGCTGCAGAAAGCTCTCAGAAGGAGCCGAGTGAAAATCGATGGACTGACCGAGACGAACAAAGAAACAACTTGTTCTTTCGAGTTGTTATAGGGGTATGCAAAACATGCCCTACAAATTCGTTGCATGGTGAGACACTCGCGCGATAGCACTATTTCACCTTTTTTTCAGCTTTGTGCTCAACTTGAATGATTCACATCACTGCAACTTTGGTGAAAGACGATGACGGCTGCGCTGAATGCGACGCATGATGCCAAATACGCCACCTTATAGTTACGGCAGCCAACGTTGGGTGAAGTATAATGCCCACGACATCTAGAATTCATTTTGTACTCAGATATTTTTAGTCTAT